ACACACACACAAATTACACGCACACACACACATTACACGCACACACGTGCACACACATGCACGCCAAACACACGATTTTAGATTTTGATGTGTTTCATCTCTTAAGATTCCATCATAATCATCCATTTTAGTATTTGTTTTACTCTTAAGATTCCATCACAATCATCTATTTTAGTATTCTTTGTTTTATGTCTTAAGATTCTGTCATATTCATCTATTTTAGTATTTGTTTTACCTCTTAAGATTCTATCCTAATCATCTATTTTAGTATTTGTTTTTAAATAAAGTAGAAAAACTGACGTGATGAAATTCAGAAAACCTCTAGGAATAAGTAGGTCTTTGAAAATATGTTTTACTCGACCCCAGTAATATCCTCAATTATCTTCACCACTTTGTGGGATTAAGAAACACGTAATAAAATTAATAAAATGCATACAACTCGATGAAAAAAACAACACTAAAAAAACAAAAGAAGACAACAAAAAAACAAACAAACACAAAAAACACCCCCAAAAAATATCAACTACAAAACCGAACGCACAAAAAAGATAGATGAGAAAAGATTGCTTTCCTTAAGCTAGTCTTTTGACAGAACAGAAGCTTTATGGACCTGTCAATAAATGTGGCAGGACGTGGTGGAATCAGGTTCTCGTCAATTTTTGGGCATGTAGAATTATTGGTATCATCTTAAAGCTTGTTTACTTGTCTTGATTTGGATGAGAAAAATAGCCTTTTATCAAGTCGAGATATTTGCAAATGAAGGAAGTTGGAGTCACCTGGTTTCAGAGGTAAAATTAGTGAGAAAAAGGCTGCCAAAAGTTAGTTATTTCCTTAGCTTAAGAGTTCGTGGTAACTGAAAATTTACATTTTCTGTGCCTTTAATCAACGTTTTTCAGTCAAATCCACACATAAATGAGTTCTTCAATAGGCATGAAAGATGCTGAGCCAAAAACCAAAAATTCGATATAATTTCTCAAATCTGCGGGAAAATGCCAGTTTCTTCACTTTGATTATTTTGACGAGAGCCTGATTCCACCACGCTGCCTCACACATAAATAAAATGTATACAACTCGATGAAAAAAACAACACAAAAAAACACAAAACAAAACAAAACACAAAAGACAAACACAAAAAAACACCAAAAAAAAACAACACTACACAACCGAACGCACAAAAAAGATAGCTGAGAAAAGATTACTTTCCTTAAGCTAGTCTTTTGACAGAACAGAAACTTTATGGACCTGTCAATAAATAACAGTAATAAAACATGATTAAGTAACACCTTGAACCGTGACTTCGTCTGTAACGACAAAAAGGAATTGGGAATTTAAGCTGGCAGAAAATGTGCTTCACATAAAGTGTCAAAAGTTTAAAAAAAAACAAAAACATAATATTATTAAAGCTAATGTTATTTCTATGACGTATAAAACAGGAATTTTAATGCAGTGGGAGGCAGGCCTCGTTTGGCAGCATGTGTACTGCTGTTGTTTAACCCTATCCGGACGTCGTGTTTTACTATGGTATCCATACGACGTGGGGAACTCTGTGCCACCACTTAACCCTATCCGTACGTCGTATTTCACTATGGTATCCATACGACGTGGGGAACTCTGTGCCACCACTTAACCCTATCCGTACGTCGTGTTTTACTATGG